AACTTTATATTAAATGTGAATTTTGAAAATCCAACCGTTAGATTGAAAGTTCATATATCTTAGATCATATATGTTAAATTTTGTTAAAATTGAACAACAACTTGAAGGTAATCAAAGTGTTCATATTTTAGTATATTTTGAAATGTATATATTACGTCAATTTTTTTATATGAAGATGAAGTATCAAATCATCTTAGATTAATATAAAATTTGACATATATGATCTAAGAGATATGAACTTTCAATCTAACGGTTGGATTTTCAAAATTCACATTTAATATAAAGTTATTAAGCGGTGTAACACTTAGTAAAAGTTACACCGGTGTCGTTTGAACCCTCCTCTATATATATATATATATACTCAATATCCCTTTATAATAATTGTCTGATCTAATCATATTTAACACACTTAATTATAATTAATAAAATATTTTATTGCTAACATTAATGTTCTTTATCATATAAATTTCATAATTTTAATATAATAATATATATTTCAAAACTAAAAGACAATATAGAAAAGTTAGATATATAAATAAGGAGTGTTAGAAAACACACTCTAACACATTCCTCTTTTGTTAAAATTTATTTAAAGTTATAAAATCAAGAAAAAAATTATTAAATAAAATGTAAAATTTACCAAATTTTAAATTTTAATAAATTTCAATCAATTAGAGGCTGAAGTATGTTTGAAAGAGATTAAATCTCTCAATTCCCATTTGAGCTAATTTTTTTTTAAAGAAGAAACCGTTTACATAATTAGCTGTGTTCAGGATAATAACTTACATTTGTAAACAATTTGTTTCCTAAAAAAGAAGTTATTTTTATGAAACTTAAAATTTTAAAGTTTGACAATTATTTTTCAACAACTTTTTCTCCATTCAAACGAAGTTAAATATCTTAAAATTACTTTTTAATTAGAAAATTTATCTAAACAAAACTTTATTTTATTTATAATTATTCATACAACCGATTATTAAAATAAAATAAATTTCACAATTTTTTTGAACACACTCGAAATGTGGTTAATAAAGTATGTCAATAACATTTTCTTAAACAAGCGGTGAAAAAGATTTTCTTAAAAAAATAAATAATAATAATAATATCATTATTATTATTATTATTATTATTAAACAAGTTAAATTAATTTTAAAGTCCTATAATTTTATATCAATCGTTATCGTTAAAAACACTTCAAAAAAAAGTCATGCTAAAATAATTATAGTTAAATCCCTATATTTTTTTCATCGACATAATTTACATAATATCTCAAAACTTGTATTAAATTCATATATATTAATATGATTCCGTTTGTGATACCCTTACTACCCCCAACACATATATTGTAACAATGTAAATAAATCAAGGAAGTAAAATTTTTAACATTGGTAAAAAGGGTTCACATAAAAACCTTCAAAAATGTTCTTCAATATCCAAAATAATTGAAAATAAAACTTGGAAAATAAAACCTAATAGTTTACAAATTATTTTTAAAATAATAAGTACAACTCCAAATCCATATAAAAAATTCATGTCCTAAAAATCCTCTGCCCCGATGTTATAATATCAGAGCATACCCACAATTCAACTGTTGGCAATCTAGATGCCACTCATAGCCGAATCTTTCTCACCTAAAACATCCACAAATTGTATGGTGAGAAAAAAAGACATCTATATGTAAAGCACACAAGGAAAAGCCACAACATAATCTCATCATAACTCATTATTTAATGAAATATTCACAATCATTTCTAATTCTATCAATCATGCATCATATTCACATCACAATTCACAATCATACTATTCCATTACAAGTCTTGCAATTAACACTAAGTCAAGGCCATGCCACATCTGACATAAGTGATACATGTTAATTGCCTCACTCATCCCACACTATGTCAATGTCACGTCGTCCTTGTAGCATCACTTACCCAAGGATCGTGCCATACCTGGTCATTAGTGTGAGGAACCACAATCATATTCACATTGGTAATCCATACAAATCTTACAATTAACACTATGTCAAGACCACGCCACATCTGACATAAGTGATACGTGTTCATTGCATCACTCATCCCACACTATTCCAAGGTCACGCCGTCCTTGTAGCATCACTTACCCAAGGGTCGTGTCATCCCTGGTCATTAGTGTGAGGAACCAAAATCATATCGCATTCACATTCAATACAACATCTCACATCATAATTAATTGAACAATTAAGCCATAACATACCATTCGTCACATCATGCTATCAATTCAATACTAAAACGATAGATACAATATGTACACATTTGTGCCAAGACATCACACCATAGTCCATAAGTCAATTCCGCATACAGATAAGTCCACACAAAATAATGGTTCACATATCCCTCAAGCAATTCACCATGAATCCACATCTAGATCATTAATTGTTATCATATAATATAACAATAACATTTATAAATTAATATAAAACTCAATTGATTCACCAATTTAATAGAATATTAAATCAAATAGTAAAACCCCCAATTTTTTCAAAACCTAACTCACAGACACTTTTTTACAATTTCGTTCTCCCTCCCAGATCATCATTTTTACAAATTAATTATATATTCATAATCCTTAACACATACAGAATCTCATAATACCAATAATTCTCCAAACAGAAATAATTATAAAATTATTAAAAAATTTCACAGGAACTCTTCTCCACTCATTCCCTCATGTGACTCTACACATAAATTTCTCTTTTTTTCCCCATACCTTAATAAGCAGTAACTGAAACTAAGCAGGATCTGGTTGGTCTCCTCCGATGGGTTTCCCTCGGTCTTCAAAGAGTGTAGAAGAAAAGAAGAGAGTGTAGAAGAAATGAAGTCAGAAGTGAAAAATGTGCTTTTTGGGAGTGCCAGAGCGCTCTATTTATAGGCATAATTAAGAAGTGGCCGAAACAGCCCGTTTTAAATCTGGAACGACCTGTTCTGAACTCATTCGTCATGTGTAAAATTTCACATCTAGAACGGCCCGTTCTAAAACCAGAACGACTCGTTCTGGGGTTACATTTTAACCTGTAACGGTCATGTTTGGAATGGTCCGTTCCCACCTTTGGAAGTACCCGTTCCCAACTAGGATTATAGGTCATTTTGATAGTTTAGAACGGCCCGTTTCAATTTGGAAACGGTCCGTTCTGGACTACTAAATCACTCATATTGAGTTTTTGGGCCTTCATACAATATACAATATGTGAAAATCAGGCTTTTATACTGTTAATTTATATTATTTGGATATTATGATACGACAACAATTTCTTTTTATTAAACTAACATGTAATTTCACATAATAATAACGTTAAAAATTGATGCGAAGAGTAAGGTAATATTATACAATTAATTTAAATTTAAATAAAAATTTAGATAGTTATTTATAAGAACTAGTATTATAATACTTTTTATATAAAAAAGTTGGTTGATCTAAAAAATACTCTAATACTATTAAACAGAATAACAATGATATGTTGAGACTGGGACCAAAAACACAAGTAACATCGTAGTTACTCGAGGTCTCAGGAGGCAAGAGTTGTAAAAGTGAATTGAATCCCCTGCTCGTATGGTAGTAATTGATTATCACTAGCGCATAGATTCTAAATTAATGCAATGGGCGCTCCTAGATCCTTCTTCTTTGTTGGGAATTCAACCCTAGCTAAACAAATACTAGCAAACAGTTTTACCAATCAACCATGCTTTTTCAGCTTTTTGCCTTTTCATCTTCACTATTGTGTACCCTATGCTATGCACCCATGGTTTTCTCAACTATTTGAATAAACCACTTAAAAATAAATTCACAATATTAAGAACCGTAATTATGTTGACTATTTTTATTTTCCTTAGTTTTAATAATCCAAAAGTTCGTACAAAGTACAACTTACAATATCTTATAAACAAGCAAATAGAAGAAAAACAATTGGCGGGGTTTTAGACAAGACAATAGTTTCATGCCTCGGCAGTATATGGCACTGACCTCAATAACTTCGGAGTCTCCAAGGGAATTCTTTTTAAAAAAAATATTACAACTTTATTCTTACACATTTAAATCTTTTTTTAATACAAGTCATAAATAATACTAATCTTGTGTTGACTTCTTTAAATGACTCTAATAAATATACTTAGATTTATAAAATTAAAATTTATGCAATACTGTTTTACATTTATTACCTATTATTTATTTACTTATATTTATATTTGACAGATGCTTATAGTTTTTGTTTCTTACCAACCTCCAAAGTGAAATGTCGATGAGGCCGGTGTTGGCAGCAACAAGGCCCAAGAGTTGGTGGCAGCTTTTGTGTGTATATATTTTGGGCATCTCATTACCTAAGCATTTGCAAGTTTTTACAGTTTTGAAGGGTAGGTAGGACTGAGTGAATATATCAGTAGTTACTTAACTTCATTTGAATCAATTTTTCTCTGCCATTCCTCTTCTCCTTTCTCTCAATTCACTCTAATCATCACCAACATGAATCCTCTCCATTCTTAGCAATTTCCCTCACCGATAACACACTAGAATAACCATGGTATGTTCCCTCATATCTCACATGCATCAACTACAGATATATGTAAGAGATAACTCTTACATTACAAACAAACTTTATATGGTGTTTGTTTTGATTTTCTTACTTGTGCAGATTCTAATGCCCCTAATGCTGCGTTCACTGGTGAAGCTGGCAACAGCACTAGTGTGTGAACCCACAGCAACTGTGACAACCATTCTCTATTACGGCAATTTGCTTCCCCGCAATCTTGTTAACTTGGAGCGATTGGTGCGACGAGAATTTCTTCACCCAGAAAACCATTTTTTCCATTTTCTCATCACTATGTTGAGGTGTGTCTGGTAGATAGAAATGACATGATGGGTTCAGGTGTTTCACAAAGGAAATTAGTACATGAGTTTGTTGAGGGAACCAAATTAATGTGTGTACTTTTTGGGGCAGTCCATGTGGTAGCACAGTGCCTAAGTTTAGATGTTTCAGGCACATTCAAGTTGTTACCCTTGTCGGCATTTTATATTTTCTTTGCGATTTTAGGTTTCTTACCATTTCACATGCATTGAGGATTTCATCATGGGAGATATTTTTTCTTTAAGTTTGATTTTTTAGAATTGCATTTTTCTTTTTTGGTTTGTAGACTAATTTCTTTTAAAATATAGAGATTATTGAAATGAATTTTGTCACTTTGTTATACATATTATCAGAAACTGAACATCGGATGACATGTTTAAAAAACTCTATTATTTATTTACTATGTTGGATTTTGTTGATAAAATTGTATTTTTCTATTGTTTAAACAATGTACAGGATTGATGTTTACAATGAATTTACAAGTAGCAGGCAGCTACCTAACCGTTTTTTATGTAATGTGTACCTAATTAACTTCAACTATCATATTGTAGGTGAATGGGTATTAAAAGAAGTATTAATGTAAAACCTAATTCTACATAAATTCACAGTCAAATTTAATGTCATGACAAATGCTAATGATACATTTTTTTAATACACCGTTAAAACTCACTCCCTTTATTATTGTTTGAATTTTATTAAAAGTTATACCATTTTTGTAATACTACTCTCTTAATGTAACAATTTTTATTTATAAGTCGGTAATTTCATGCCATTTTTGATCAATAATTAAAATATGTTAAAAATATGTTAAAGATAGTGTACTAGATTGAGATTTTATAAAACTATTTTAACAAGAAATTAAAAATTTTGTAAATTTTAAAAGATTTTGTAGGGATGTAATAACTTTTAAGATTTGTTTTAAAAAGATTTTATAGAAATGTAATGACTTTTAATTTTTTTTTAAGAAACTTTCATAATCAAGATTTTGTAATATGAATTTTAATAAATTTATATCTTAAAATTTATAAGATTTGAAATGTTTTTATGAGATTTCAAAAGATGATATAAATTTTAAAAAAGCAACACAATTAATAAAAATAACATAAATATTAAGGTTTAAATAAAAAATAAAATTAATACAATTTTTAAATTTTTTTAATAAACAATTGATTATAATTTCATGTTCTTCTAAGTAATATATATATATATATAATATTCTCACTAGTGAAGGAAGCTACTAAGACGTATTACAATATCATAGTTTTTACCAAACATACTATATAACCAAAAAGATATTAATTTATTTGTGTTATAGTAAAAGAAATTAACATATATAAATACTTGAGTGTGCTATATATATATATATATATATATATATATATATATTTTGATATTTTCTCATTTATGTTATTGAATTGATTGAATAATGTGTTTAAATTTTTGTTATTTATTAACTGATAAAACTCTCAAAATTAATCTGACCTAATGGGTTGGTTTATTGGTCCATTAATTTAAGCCATGTTGAGCTTTATATTTATAAGCCCAAAAAAAGGTTAAGCCAAAATATCATGTCAATTTGTCTCGGTCTAATGATATTTTATTTATTTCTTTTAAATTAAATATAAAACTATTATAAAAATTATTTTCAAGTTATATATATATATATATGTGTGTTGTATATAAACATAGACACACATATATTAATTTAATTATATTAAAATTGATATTACAAATATCTTAAACAGTAAAATTTTTAGTCTTAAAATAACACACTCAATATTCTATTTTTATTTATATTGAAAGCATATTTTATATACTAATTTTATAAATAATCTAAAAAAATTTCGTAAGTTATGTTTAGACAAAAAAAATTTTAAAAAATATCTTAATTAAATATCACAAAATTTTTTTATAATAAAAAAGTCTTTTAAAATTTTAATTCAATACATCTTTAAAACATGTTATTGACACTTTTTTATACTCCTTTCGATATTTTATTTAAGAAACAAACAATTAATTTATCAAAATCAATAAAAAAAATAGTTAAAGCAATTTATTTTTATTAATAATGTCATGAAATTAAATTTTTATTTCAAAAATACCCTTTAAACTGATTAATTTAAATAATAATTACATTAAATAACACAACACTTAATTCATGATTTTTTCCATCAATAAATATAACTTGTATGGTTAATAGATCAATAAATATATTCACTTATATAAAAAGAAAATAATAATTAATAGATCTTGAAGAAAATATTTATTTTTATAATTATAATAAAAATAATGTACTTTATTTAATTGTTTTTTATATAAAAGAGTGGAAAAGTATTATAGGAAAATGTGTATTAGTGTGAGATTTAAAAAAAAGCAAAAGTGCAATATGTCATTGAGCCTAAATTTTTAAAATATCTTTATTTTTTTAATTTTACACCTCTAACATTTAATTTAATAATTTTTTCTTTTTTTCCAAACACCTCATTTATTTTTCTTTTCAGTTTTCACATGTATCACTTGCTTTCTTTTACTTTCCACCTATTTTACTAGTTAGTTTTAGTTTTTTTTTTTTTGAATTTTTACATTACTTCTTTTAATTTTCACACACTTGAAATGTAGTCATGTAGAACTAGTGTTCGACAATATTATAAGTGCAGGTGGCTTCATTAATAATGTCAAAGGTGTCGAAAAAAAATGTGTGTTTTTTTTAACACTTTCTCTATTTAGACGTTTAGAAATTAAGTTTAGTGTTCCAAATAATTTGTGTTCTAAAAGGTACTTTTTGAAATAGTTAAATTAGTATTCCAAAAAGTACTTTATGAAAGTATTGTTTTACATAATTCTAAAAAATTCTTTCCAGAATACTAAATATACTACTTTAGAAAGAACTATCTAAAATTATGTAAAACAACATGCTTTTGAAAAGAATTTTACAAAACATAAATTTTAGTATTGTAGAAAGTACTTTCTAGAACTGTCTTTTTTACTTAATTTTAAAAAATATTTTCTTAAATGTTAAATTTACTATTTCAAAAAAAAATCTTTAAAATTATGTAAAATACACTTTTAAAATGTACTTTCTAGAACATTAAAAATAATGAAATTAGTATTTCGGAAAGTACTTTTTGAAATAGTAAAATTAATATTTTAAAAAATAATTTCTAAAAGTGTGTTATTTTATACAATTTTGAATTTTTTTTCTAAATGGTAAATTTAATATTTTAGAAAGTATTTTCCAGAAGTATATAAAAATACAATTCTATAAATTATTTTTCAGAACACTAATTTCACAATTCTAAAATATTGAAATTATTGTATCAAAAAATATTTTTTGGTATACTGAATTTAATGTCAAGGTTTCTAAAAGTGTGAAAGAGTAGGGAGTATTCAGAAAAAAAACGTCCATCTTGCTTGATATATCCCAAACTATTGGGAAAATTGCAGGTGCTTACAATATTGTAGCACACCAATTTTGTAGTTCGAGTACATGTGAAAAATGAACAAAGTGAGGAGGAAGAGAGTAATGAAAAAATCGATATAATTAAAATTATCTATTGAAATAGATGGAGAGTGGGGAAAAGACAAAAAAAATGTTTATGAAAACTAAAAGGAAGAGAGAAGAAGATGTGTGAAAAAGAATAAGAAAGCGTTATATTAGAAGTTAAAAGTGTAAAATTAATTTTTTTTTTAAAAAGATTAAAGATATTTTAAAAAAATTTAAAAATAAAAAAGTGTACTTATGAAGAAAAAAAAAAATACATATATCATGAGCCCTTACATAAATCAGATCTAAGGTTTTTTTTCTTTTTTTTTTTCCCTGTAGGATGCATGTTTTAGAGACCTCCAACTTGACTACTACTTCGCAATCCATTCCAAACACCGAATAAGCATTACTTTTAGCCCAACAGATTTATGTGATTTTGTGGGCTAAGTTGTGACTTTCGGTGAGTCCAGTGAGATTGTCATGATTTATGATTATGTGCTCTTAGAGTTGCATTATACATATAGAGTTTTATTTAGATAAATTTCTTTAAAGTATTTTTAAGATATAAAATAAAAAAAATTTATAAATTAAAATTAATTTATACATAAATTATTTTATAAAAAAATTTTCTTATCTAACTTTTTTCAAAATTTTATTTTAAACTCATACATAAATATAAATGTTCTTTATAACATGTTATTACATATTATACAATATTAAGAATAAGAGATGTTTTTAGTTTCCTAAAAAGTACTTGCAGTCATTTTTCTTTTTCTTTTTATTTTTGGTTTGCATAAAGAATATTATTTTATTAATAATTAAAGACTTTCTTAAAAAAAATACACATTATTGAAGTGAAATTTAATTTATATATTCAACCAAATAATTGAATATATATTGACATATTTAAACAATTTAGTTATGCACCAATTCCATTTTTTCCAATATTGATCTTATCTTTCTCCTTGTTTCTATGTCCCTTGTCCCATCAGTCGCATTTTTGGACCAAATTTAAAATTTTATAAAAATATTTTGTAACAAACTCTTAAAAGAGTAGATAATTAAGAGTAAGAATAAATCAAATCTTAAATAGATATTTATAATCTAACCTATTTAAAATATAATCTGATTTGACTAATTTAATAAAAAAATTATATATAAATTTTTAAAAATCTATTTATTGAAAAACATTGAACTTAGATTTATAAAAAGTTTAGGGTTTAGGGTTTATAAAAAGTCTGTTAAATTTGTTTGATCCATCTATTTATCTGTATAATATAATAAAAATATAACATACATATTCTGTCATTAATAATATAATTAAATAAATAAATTTATAATAAAAAACTAAATTAATAATAATTTTGATATTTTAGAATTAAACATTTTATATTTTCTCTTCAAGCAAAATCAATAAATAAAAAATAAAAAAATATAGCAATAACGTTATATGCTCTTTTTCTTTATTTTCATGCATAGTTATTTATTTAGAATATCCCAAATGGGATATAGAAAATATTAAGAATATTATGTTTCTATAAAATTATCTTCATTTATTACACATGTACTACATGATGTGCATTGTTCTTCTTACATTAATTTTTTTATTTTAAATATTAAATTTTAATAATAATTGAATAAACTATTTTTTTATCACAAAAATTAAAAAAAAAACTCACATGTATATTTAAAAATAAAATTGATAATTTATTTAAAATTAAATTTATTGATTTATTTAAAATTTTATATAAAATAAGTTTTTAAATAGAATAACAAGTTAAACCAGACTATTAACAAAGTTAGATAAAACCTAAAAAAAAGTTATAATAGATAATAATTTAGACTTAAACTTTACTTTTATAAAACAGATTCAACTTATATATTCAAAATCTACCTATTATACATAACTAACTTATATTATATTATTTAATATTTGTAGTTTGAGAGAATTTAATTAGCCCAAATAATAAAATCACATTACATATGTCCAGACATAATGAAAATTAAATTATTTCCATTTTTATATTTGAAAACTATTACGTACTGGATTATAAATTTTATGAATACGTTTTCAACACTCTTTTATATATATTTTATTGACATGTATTACAAATGATAAAATATAATAAACATCTTATTTAATAACTTTCTCATAATTTTAACAAGAGAGTTTATATATTGTATCTCTTCGCAACAAATCTTGAACTAGACTTAAACAAGTCAATGAAAAAGCTTTCGAATATGATGAGAATGAATCCACTGACAGCCGAATTTGAGAATTTTGAAAGCTCCTTACTAAGCCAGGAGTTGACTGATTACTTGACTAGCTAACTTTCCAAATTGTGGAAACAGAACTCAATATTTGATCTTTTGCAGCTAAATTTGACTTCATTAATATTAGATAGTGACACTTTGATACACTTATATCTGCCCAAAACTAAAAACTTTATAAGGTAAGAAAGACTAACTATCCCTTTTCACTATAATGATACATCATATATACATGCATGCATATCCAGCTTCTATCAGTTAATTGTTGGAAACGAATATTACGAATTCACACTCACAACTGGCAACTTTGTCAAAAGTTAAATGCATTTTTAATCACTATATACGATAATACTGTCATGAAATTCATCAATTTAAGTAATTGTAACTTTTATAGGATATTTAAGTGTAATTCAAAAGTTTTAAATAACATAATTTTGAGCTTATATGAAATCTTGAAATAAGAATATTTCGAATTGATCTCCATAAAATTTTGAAGCTGTTTGACTTAATTAATCCTATTAATTAATTAATTAATTTTATCCCATTTGAGTATTCCTGTTAAGTTTTTTTTTATAATTTTATTCTCATGTGAGATATATGTTTTTTTTTTGTTTTTTATATTTTGAATTGATTTCAACAAATCCTGTTATATCTTACAACGAAATAAGATCACATTTTTTTCACAGGAATTGTGTCCCAGCTGACAAAGATTGTATACATAAATTGTGTAAAAGTGAGAGCCAGATTCAGTAAAAGCTGTGTCCATTCATGTGACACAAATTGATAAGCCATCATTCAGCATGTCTACGTTACCTGAATTCATGCCTAAAATCATTTAACCTTTTAAACTTTTTGCATTAGTTATGTGCCTCATGCATGTCATGTCTGAGTATTCTTGCTCACAAAGCAAAGTGATCAAGTGAACATTAAAAAAGGAACATTAGCATAATTTATGAATAAAGAAGAAGGATCAAGTCAAGGGTCACGCATCTGGGAGGTTACCTCACTTTTTTTTTTCTTCTTCAATTTGACTCAGATTTCTCTCTCAAATGAAGAAGCACGCAAACGCAACAACGTTACTTTAGACAAGGAATTCTAGGATACTTCCTATAACATTTTTTCTTAAATTTGTTAGAAATTATAAATTTATATAGATTTCAATTCTTATTTAATGAATTTTTCTTGATTTAGTGATGAGATTAAGAGAGTATTACCATGAACGTTGTTATCATTTTTTCATATTATATTTATTAATTACAAAACAAAAAATAAAGAATATTTGATTCTATCAATGAATATACCTAACATTTCCGGGTCTAGTTTACGCCAACTATAATGTTGCCATGGCTCGTGACACCTTTTATTATACATCACTTTATGAATCTCTTATGAGAGACAGCCAGCAATCAAGTTTTAAAGGAGCTCACAATCTTGAAATAACTGAAATACCCCTTTTAACTAAAATGATAGGCATGTATCAAAGTAATATTTCACATTTATTCATCAAATGTTAACAATTGCATTTCTAATAATAAATTAATTAAGTTGATGACAAAACTTTTTTTTATTTTATCTATATATATATATATATTCTAAATATTATGTTTATTAATAGTACACATACACTTAGATTAACACACTAAGCACGATATCCTAATTGCATTTCTTTTATTAGCATGAAGATATTATTAGAAGTAGTACTAGTAAACATCGGAACTGGCAGAACTGTATATAATTTTTCAACACTTGAACAATGTCATTTTAAATGTGTCAACTACAAAAGCTGATCTCTTTTTCCCTTTTCTTATTTCAGAGTATCAAATTGACAGCTAATTTCGTGACTATTCTTTTCACACAACCTTCATATAACTGTCACGCAAACTGCCAGTTTAGACCGTTTCTGACCAATCTCTCAAATTTGGGTTTCTTGATTGATAATCTCAGAACTTCCATCATGAATTACCACTTCATCATAAATATGCGCGCTACATATATTACGCTTATAATCATAACTTTTTTCTCTCTATATATATACATGTTATGTTCCATTACATTGACACAACAATCTTGTTGCATATTTCATATACTTTTTGTTGCTTTCTTATTACTTACGTCCTTATTCTCTCTAGATTTCCTAGCTCCTTAGGTTGTTTTTTCTGGTCTCATTCTTGGTGTGGTTTCAGATTTTACCTCTTGTGAGGAGCTTCTCCTCTATCTCTCTCTGTTTGGAATTCTGGGATTTTCTCTTCGTGAGAGCTACATTTCTTTTCTTTGAGGCCTCCTCAATGCTGATTCTTAGCGTAAATTGATCTTCATTCTCATTTACAAGTATACTTAATCACAACATAGAATCTAAGATACCCCACAAAAGCCATTTTCCCTTTTCAGCCAACTTGGTTCCTTCAGATTCTAGGAGACAAATGTTTCGGTGGCTATTCAAACCCAGGTTCTATTCAAAATGGTACAACACTAACCTAGAGACTTCTACTCTTTCTCAGTAGAACATGTTTTTTTCCCTTTCTAATATTGTGTTGGATTTCACTTTTAAAAATAAAAAACAGCTTGTCCTACGTGAAGTTTTTGAAGTCTCGGCTAGAGATTATACAGAAGAAGAAGAAAGCAGTGCAGAAGTTTCTGAAGAGTGACCTTGCCGTGCTTCTTAGGAGTGGCTATGATTTCGAGGCATACAAAAGGGTAAGACTTGCCTTGTAGTTTTGAATTTAGCACATGTTTACTCATTTCATTTGATGGGTTCACTTCCTAAGGAAGATGTAATCTGAGATGCAATCACTTTTTTATGTAAAACTCTAAAAAAGATTGGTAGAAGTCTTGTGTTGCTCCATTTTATGCATATGACATGACACGGTGATGTTAACTCTTTGTATTTGATGCAGGCTGAATGGTTTTTGTTAGAGCAAAATATGTTATCCTGCTATAAACTCATTGAGAAGTTTGTTGGATGCATATCAGATCATGTTGAAGAGCTAACCAAGGAGAAGTATGTTTCTCTACATATGCACTAGAACATTGTTCTGTCTTCCTCACGTCTCATACATGCACAAAGTAGCATGGTTTTCTCTGTTTTAAATGCTCACCTATTACTATTAGTATGGATTGTCACTAACCATGCTCATGCATGACTACTCTTGCATGAATGAAACACCTTTTTTCTCACACAATTTTAATCAACTATTCACCTGTTGAATTGCTGTTAGTATAACGAACATGTCTGTGTTTCTGTGACTTCTATGTTACAATTTCTTGTCAACATCTACAAGAGTACAACAGTTTATGATGTTTATCTTGACAATCTTTAAATCTTCTTGAATAGGGATTGCCCTGATGAATGCAAGGAAGCTGTGCCATCATTGGTGTATGCTGCAGCAAGATTTGCTGATCTGCCAGAACTGCGTGACCTCAGAACAATATTTACCGAGAAATTTGGGAATTCTCTTGAACCTTTCATTAATAAAGAGGTAAACCATGACCCTTACTATACATGTTCATTCATAAACCTCAACTCTCGTTGATTAATAAGATAAATTATTTTCTTCAGGACATCTTTTTGTTTTTAAAGCTTACCATAATTATTACTTTTCCTCAGTTTGTTGAGAAGCTGAGGTGTGATCCCCCTTCCAGAGAAATGAAGATTAAACTGTTATATGACATAGCGCAAGAGTTCTCTATAGAGTGGGATGACAAGGCTTTGAGTCAAGGACTTCTTTATACACAGTCGTCGTTATGTGAAGTAAGTCTTAGAACTGACTTGTTTTGCTGCGCGCAATCAATAGAACATTTATTTCAGCATAAGTATAATTCGATTTGGTAATTATATTACGAGAAATGATAATAGCATAGTCTCCAACATTTTATTTCAATACCTTTTATAATACACTAAGATATTTATTAAAATTTATTAGAAACTAAAAAATCATGGATGAGACTCATTAAATAAAATGTAAATGTATGACCCACAAATTTTGGCTAGTAATAAAGTGTGCTCAAAACAACAGGACAAAAAGTGTATCGATAACATTTATATGAGAAAGATAGAGGTAGTTTTGGGTAACTAGTCCACAGTCTCCAATAACTAACAAAGAATAATACATCATCTGACTAATAATAAGATATGGATTTCAATGCTACTGATTGCAGGAGAGGCCTAATCCTGGAGGAAACAGGAACAGCAATACATCCAAAGGAAAGGAAAGAGACACCTTACCCCTTCGAAGCAAGGAATTTAATGATGACTCATGGATACACCGAAACAGTAGTGATGATGAAACAAGTACATCACAAGAAAAGGGTAGTAGTTCAAATTCGTTGGAAAGCATATCTGAGGATGAAGTAGAAAGTAAGAGGCCAAATTCCTATTGGTTCATTCCACCCCCATACCTCAAACAAAAGACTGACAAAGGTGAAAGCAATTCAACGAAAACAACACAATCTGAGGCTCTACCAAAAAAGGAATCAAAGCATCCGAGATCAGTAAGGAAAGACAGTGTTGCTGATTCTAAAACATCTCTAGTGAGAGGAAATTCTGTTCCTTCTGACCCCACAACTGCAGTGGAAACATCAAAAGGGCATGTACGAACAATTTCCTTGGGATCTAGAATGAGGGGTGGTGCATCGCATGTGCATCCTAATCTACCCGATTATGATGAATTGAAAGCTCGTTTTGCAGCTCTCAGACAGAAATAAGAAACCAACAGCTTCATTAGCACCAGCACCAGAGAAAACTTTCTCATTCTCATTGTTATTTGATTCGGTTGGTAATTCTTTTACGTGACAGTGACACAATTTCAGGTGTTCTAGGCCATTTTTTATGTCCTGTCTCAACATCATTAGACATTTAAGATAGATTATATCATTCATAAGACATTTAAGATGCATTATTTCATTCGTTATTCATGTCCAGTTCTATCTCTTTATCCCATGTTCATAATTCAAATGCTTGTTCCAAAAATGTTTAGGATTCAAATCACATTGTTGTAAAGCTGTAATGATGTTCTTGGACTAGTTCCTATATGTGTGGAAGAGAATTTTAGAATTAAAAGCTACTATATATGTTAGAAACTCAAACTCCTAATCGACTTTCATCTTCATTACTGTTTTTTTTTTTCTTGTTATAATATATTATAGCTAAGCTAAATGTCAGATTACATGCATGGATAAAATAGAAAGGTTTGATGTTAATGTTCTGTTAGTATAAAAATTTTTTACATTGTCAATCAATAAAATATTATCATCAGTATGATTTTTAAAATAATTATTCTAAAAATCAATAAATTCAAAATTGTAATTAAAAGACAATATAAAATTGTTTTATAGTTGATAAACATTTTAATTTAAGATAATTATTGTCGATTCATAATTTTTTTCTCAAAATGGAATAGAACAAACTTGTTTGAATTCAATCAATTATTCTTATATAACTGCAAATACTTTAGGCATCCATTTTAATATGATTATTTATTTGATTTGAAATTTGAAATCTATAAAATAATCCAAACAGTTCACTGTCAATGCATAATTTTTTTCTTCTTATTTTTTAAATAAAAGGAATTACCATTTGCAATTCTTTTTCACCAATCACCATACACCTAATATCTAAATAGTAAGGTGATGACATCATGCACCAAAGATCTTCTGTTCTCACAAGACACGCAAGCTTCAGATAAGAGAGCTGATAATCATGAACTCGTGATGCTTAGAGAAAATGATATACGATACTAATTCCGGGTTATCAATGTCAAATATAAAACTGTGAATATAATTTGCATGTTCTTCTAGAGTTTGCATTTTCGTAACAAGGCTTATTTAGGTCTACCTACATGTTTGATTCCACGTCCATGATCTACTTTTAAGCAAAAATCACATAAAAATTGATGCAAAAACAATTAATTGTTGCTTCCGTTGATCTGCATCCATCAAAAATTGATGTGAATCCGAACAAATTCATAGAATATATTTTCTTTAGGCAGTTTTACGTCCTGATATTGATGTGGATTCTTCATATAACCAGATAGAATGAGTTTTGATATGAAAATTTATTCAACATGTGCTGAACCACATTGCAATGTATTACAACTACAGCAGTAGAACCAGATGAATTGAAGCTTTTAAAAAGTTATTCATTACTAGTGAACTTTACAAACAAAAACTCATACAGCTAGAACCTGGAATGAAGACTCCAAATTAGAAGTGAGTTACATGGGATAATCGTTCATGGACAGGGTTATACAGAGGTTGATATCATTGGTTATCTGTGAGTCAATGATTTGATTACATGGGGATATCAAGCTGAGCAACAGAAAAATTTTCTGCTTCTATCTTGCATTGTATTGTTCAAATTCATCCCCACAGATTTCGGAGGAAAAGCTCTTGTTAGTCTCTGAGCTGCATTTATATTGTTTTAAGTAGTATGTCTATCAAAACAAATGCTTTTAAATGACGTTCAACATTTATCATTTTACCTATTTCATGGAAAAGCTCGTTGATGTTCTTTGCACTCTTTGCAGATGTTTCCATGTAGAACAATCCATTCTCTTGAGCAAATTGCTCCCCTTCCTACAAATAGAAAAGCATTCAAAAGAAGAAAAAAAAACTGTGATAGAATTCAGAAAAAAAAAAAAAAAGGACTGGATTGCTTGTTGACCAAAGAATTAGATCACTCCCAAGTAGTTATATTTAGAAAAACAATTTACTTTTTTTATTCTAAGGATAAAGAAAGGAAACAAGTAACAGAATAGGAAGATGATCTCAAGTCTCAACATTACCTCAGTTGCAACCCCTCTCTTTGGCTCCAAGTCTGATTTGTTTGCTACCAGTGCCATCACCAACTTCGGACTTCCTGCCAGCAGTAGTTATAGTTTTACTATACTGAGACAAGTCTTAAAGACTGGAATATGAACTTGCTTTTTATATTCCAAGTAGACAAACTTAGATACAATACCATATATGTTTTTTTTAATATATATTTTTCTCTAATTAAAATTGGGGATTTATCTCAATAAGTAATGTTAACCTTTATCGCATGAACTACTGAGGCAAAATTTTACTTTATATACAATCAACACTAAAAACACATATGATATTGTACCTAAGTTTTATATTTTTCAAAAATAGGGTGGGAATAGGGAAGAAAGCCATGGTGGTTCACATGGAAGTATGGTACTATGCATCAAGTCAAAACAAACATTTTGAATTTGCAATGCAGAGATCAATAGATGATTGTTATAACTTATGGGAATTATGAAGAAAGAAAAAAAACATTCTATTCATGTTCAAAAAGACTTAAATAAGTGAAGGACCTGCCGGTGGCTGATTTTTAAAAATGACTTTAATTCACATCTCTTTCAGCAGGGACAAGAGTTGCAGGTTTACTAAAATAATTTT